AGAGAGAGAGAGAGAGAGAGAGAGAGAGAGAGAGAGAGAGAGAGAGATAGAGATAGAGAGAGAGAGAGAGAGAGAGAGAGAGGGAGTGAGTGAGCACGAATGAGATGAAAGAGAAACCACTTTGGCATAACTTGGTTCGTAGCATATGTAAAGATTTATCGGCTTTTGTTTCTTCTTCTTCTTTTGCTTCGGTTTCTGTTTGATTTTGAAGCGTTTTTTGTTTATCTGTATGTTGTTCGACTCTGTCTTACCTACTACGACGACCACGACGATGGCGACGTCGACGACTGAATACCATTTTTTGGCTTTAGTTTTGGTCACTTGTTTATTTTGCTATCAAAAGCCGAAATGTGAATAACCTACTTGTTACTATTACCATGTGCGCACGTTCATAATCATTCGAATAAAGACAAACACACAAGACAAAATTCGGATAATTAAATATGCATTTCGAAACCAAATAAATTCAAACGAAAAATAAAATTCATAACGATATTGGAGCCCGTTAAGACTGTGTGGAGCATGTCACGATGCGTACATAATCCAATGATAGTAGTTGAATGTTTGAGTGTGAAACGGAACTGCTCTACCGGTTAATTTACCTTTTGGATTCAAAATTCTTAATCGCTTAGACGTGCACCATGTGCACACACACACGCACGCGCCATTAATTATTGCATTTAATTGCCTCAAATGATATATATATATATTTCTGCGTTTTTTCAATTTGCATTGAAGTGGCGAGGCATTGATGGGGCAAAATTGATACGATCGATCGATATAGTTCTATGAATCAGCATGGTTATAAATATCGAGCTCTCTGCATACGCGATGCAATCGCATTGAAGGTGAATGAAATCACTAAAGCGTATCGCATTCGTATTGAAATCAAAGATGCATATCCAATTCCACCACAATCGAACGCGAACAAAAAAAATCAGCAACAACAACAACAACGTGTTATCGTAAACAATTCACAAATTCAAACAATGAATGGGTTTTGAATTGAAAGTACTAATTTCGTGTGTGTTTTTTCTTTTCCTTCTTCTATTCGAACAGGTCTACTGGTTCACCGTTGAGTTCGGTCTCTGCAAAGAAACTGGCAGCACTGATGTCAAAGCCTATGGTGCTGGTTTGTTGTCGTCATATGGGGAATTATTGCATGCATTGAGTGGCAAGCCTGAATTGCGCGCATTCGAACCGGCCAGCACAGCCGTTCAACCCTATCAAGATCAAGAATACCAACCAATCTACTATGTGGCAGAGAGCTTCGAAGATGCCAAAGAGAAATTCCGTCGCTGGGTATCAAGCATGTCACGACCATTCGAAGTTCGTTTCAATCCACACACAGAACGCGTCGAAATCTTGGATTCGGTCGACAAACTTGAAACACTTGTTTCACAAATGAACACAGAACTGTTACATTTAACCAATGCTATTGGTAAGCTCAAACATCCCGGCTGTTAAATGATCCCTCCCCCCCCTGTTAAAACGAATCACACATACACTTTTCTTTCATATGTTTCAAAACACACATACACGCCATTCACAATGGTACGTATACATCCAGATAACAGAATAAAAAAAACTAGTAGAACATTTTCTATCAAAAAGAGTTGTGAGAAAGCTAAAAGAAGCAAACAATCATTCTGAAATCATTTTGCAAGAGGGAAGTGAGTAAACACAATAACAAAACAAATGCAAGGCAATGAATCAAATGAGCAAGGCAAATGATTAAACATTTGAACAATAAATAATACAGGCATAATTTTTTTTCTGATGTAGATGTATGTTAGTTAAAATAAGGAGATATAAAAAAAAGCTTAAAAAAATGTGAATAAAAAAAATGTATACTATATAATCTCTTTCCAGTGGTTCCATTATGGATGTTTTATCTAGTGTTCGAATTTAAACATCAGTTAGTTACTGTTTATTAAATCACTGCAACCACTTAATTCCGTAAAATCACAATGTTTTCTTTTCTTGCAACTTTCCTCTCTATTTTTTTAAATCACAATATTAGTTTGTCCGTTTTCCAATTTGTTTTTTCAATGACTTTACAAATCAATTGCTGTGTTCATTCAAAATAGTTAACAAACCTTTCAAAATAACTCCATATGGTCAAGACCCAGCGTAACATATCCACTCCTCCTAATTTATTTTCATTACACGTAAAATATTGCATTATTATTTATACTTTTCGTATTTTTATTTTATATGATTTTTACGCATATTTTGTTCAACCCCAAAAATGAACCTTCTTTTTAGATCTTATTTTACCTGTGTGTTTCACCTTTCTCTTTTTATTAACTCTAATTAATTTATTGTAAATAAATATTTTGTCGGTATTTTTAGCGACTAAGGCAAAAACTGCGAAGAAAATAAAACGAAAAAAAAATGAAGTAGAGAACATTTGATATGAGGATCAATGGCATTGAAAATTTTAACAGTTAAACATGATGAAAACTGTGTATTCGGCAAATGCAAGTAAAACAGTGAAACAGAAAATTTATGCAAATCAATGTGTTAAAAAAAAATCGGTTAGTTCTTCAGTGTATCTCATTATTAAGTTTTACAGAAAGTTATTGTGTATTATGTATTTCTATGTTTTCACTTCACTTCAGTATAAAGCAATAAATGTGAAAATTAAAAACAAAACAATGCTGTTGTTTCACTTTTTTTCCTTAGCAAAAATAAAATGCAATTCAAAGTAAAGGTGAGACTTTACCAACATTGAAGAAAGGTAAGGATAAATGAAAAGTGACGATTTTTGCAAACAGCTGTTAAGAAACGGGAATGCCCAGTATTGTTATCAACATCTAGTTTGTTGCAGAAAAAAATGCAGAGAACGAAGTTTCCGTGCTCAATGAATGTCTCAAAATATCAGATCAAAGGAGACTCAATTTAATAACTCATTTGCGCTTTAAAAGAACCTTTTTATATACACTTTCAAATAATATTGATTTCGAAATTCAATGCAAAGTTAACAATTCATTTTATAACAGTTTTTGTAGTAGATCAAAGTATTTTAATGTAAAAAAAAACACGAGAAAAACTACTGAATGGCCGTTCTCAATTAACATCGAAAATTCGGAAGTCTAATTAAAATGTGTTTAATGGGCAAAACAAAACAGCTTTGATCAATTTGGAATCGATTGTAAAGGCAAAAAAGCTAATAAATTTAAGATGGTTATATCAACAATGAAATAATCATTCGATACGTCACGCGCATCTCTCGCTGCATTTTTTTTGCGCACAACGAACGATCAGTCAGACTATAATTGTATTTTTATCACTCTTTTCAATTCTTTTTCACTCAAAAGTAATAGTTAGAGAAAATGTTATTTTTGACAAAAAAATAACATCCAAAATATGGTTTTCTGTCAAATATTACCTCTACAATTATTTCTTTTTCTTTCAATTACAATACTTTTCAAATTACTTTTTCTCCAATTATTACTTTTAGGTGAAAAAGAGTGATTTCCCCGTCGATTTTTGCACAATAGAATTCGGCAACATCTTCAAAAACAAACACTCTCTCGCAATAATCGTCAGTCAACAGTGTTGATGAAATCAAAATTAAATTTAATGATTATATATAAATTAAATTTTGGATATATTATTTGTTGTACCTGAGAAAATGACTTTAGATCCAGATATTTGAAAATCTCCATTCTCACAAAAAAAAATTATTTGCATGTAGCAGCAGTGATTAAATTGCGTTGAATCTTCAAAATCAAATCTTTATGAAAAAGATCAATCTATATGATGATCGAAGAACGTTGAGGTGATTCCAACAGGGGCTCCAAGCTGGGGATAAAATTATATATTTTATGAGTTATACCAAGAGATTTGGATTCTTCGATGTTTTCCAGTATGACCGAGAAAGAAACTATTAAACCTCTAATATAAAAGAAAAAAAAATCAATAAAATTTTGTGAGATTGCCATTTTTTTTCTTTATTGCAATTCGTTTTTTGTGAATGGTAATGTATGCATTGTGATGAGACTAGTATGGTAAATGTTGTTCATGGATTAAATGTATTTGATAAATTTTTGTTTGGCTTTGTGAACGTTAAATATTTTGTTGTTGTTGGTTCAAATGGTGAATGTGATGTTGGTGACATTGCCAGTTGGGGCGATAAACTTTTCAAGTCAGTGGGTGAATGTGCTGTACTGTGTCCACTGTCAACGTCGCCCAAACTGTGCAACCGATCCGAGTCCGGGCTTGAATCTTCATCTAGTATATAACCACACTTGCGTGCGAGCAATGTTCGCTGGCACAATGCACTATTTATTGAATGCTGATGATGAATGCCAATCGCAGTTGAGCTCAGCTCGTCGGCCAACGATGTTTGACCACTAGTCACTAAGATGGAAGCTAAAAACATTGACAAACAGAAAATGAAACAACAACCAAATGAATGCACAATGTCGCACACGAGCAACAACAAATGGCCATGCAGAAATAAAAAAATCAATAAAATTTTGTGAGATTGCCATTTTTTTTCTTTATTGCAATTCGTTTTTTGTGAATGGTAATGTATGCATTGTGATGAGACTAGTATGGTAAATGTTGTTCATGGATTAAATGTATTTGATAAATTTTTGTTTGGCTTTGTGAACGTTAAATATTTTGTTGTTGTTGGTTCAAATAAAGAATGCTTAATGATTGACCACTTATTGCATAATCCATAAATTTTAATCAATCTTCGCTACAAAACAACATGGTTACATTAATTGACAATTGCAGCAACTGTTCACTGTTCATTACAGAACAATTAATGCAGTTAATGCCAATTAACGCAACCACAACAATGACATTCATTATTTTCTGAAATCAGTGTTTGCATTCATTCATCCAATGCACTCTTCCTGTTCACCACACGTCGTATTAAATATCGTATTTATTGCTACATGTGTTTTAATATTATTGAAGCCAACGATTCAAGTCAGAGCAAAGTATTGAATACAAAATCACTTAATAAAATCTTTTCAAACAACAATCCTTCCATCTAAAACATAACTCTGGCCAAAGTTAGCCCAACGTGAGTGTTTACTGTTCGTGATAGCTTTATATGTGTTTACTAATATTATTATTATATTTTCTGCTTTTACTTGATAATATGTATTTTTGTTGTGTTTTTGTTTTTGTTTTTTTGTCATTATCAATGTACACAATTGAAAATGCAACATAAAAATGAGCAAAACCAACTTAAATGTCGATTCATTTTCAAAATAGAGCGAATTTTCTAGAAATACCCTCATCAAATCATCGATGAAGACATTATAACATTTATTTTGATTCAATTTCCAAGTCTTTGGTTTCATCTTTTGGTGAATGAATTAGAACCGATTCAGCAAACAGAAGTTTTGCCATTTCAAGCAAATTGACTCTCAAGTTAGTTGTCAGGGATCCATTGTATAACATCTTGCGATCGGTTTGAACTCAGATAATTTGATCAAGTCCAAAAATAAGATTCATAAATATATTTGATTTTTGGATGTGGATTCATTCAAAATATACTTATAAAAAAATATATATTCCACATTTTGCGATATTTTCTTTCTTTTTTTTCTTTCTGTTTTGTTTTTGTTCTTTTTTTCTTGGTTTTGTCCTGTTGTTGGTTCCGATCAATTTGCGTTTCACATGTCAACAGTCAAATATATTAACGAAATAATGTTGCGATTGGCAGACACAGCAGCGAGAGAGTAGCGGACGAGTATAACATCAAATTGAACGAGAGAAAATTCGGTGAGATGATTGCATGAGCATGAGCATTGATGTGTGATTTGATGAACTTGGTGATAATCGATTCAAATTGCAAGAGAATTTCTTCCTTTTTATACTCTTACTTAAGTTAGAAATAGTTCACTATAGAAAATAATAATAATTCGAAACTTTTTCATCTGTTAGATGTCAAGGATAAATCATTTTAAAAGAAAAACAGAACTATTCTTTGTTTTTCAAAATCAAAGTAGAACATTTCCCGTAAAAGTATCTTTCCACAATGTCGCCTTCGACGAGAAATCATAAATGAGACTAGACATACCGAATATAAAGAAGAAATCATACACTTAATTCGTAAATAAGTACATTCATGTTAGTTGTTGTTTTGTTTTGTTTCTCTTTTGGCTACTTGTGTCGTTCCATGTAAGTATTAAACTATTGAAACTTGTGAAAGTGATATAGTTACGACAGTCACATTCTTTTCACATTTACTCAATATAAATATCTTCGATAGGATAAGCCGTTTCGATAAACTTCTGATAGAAATGTTGAAATGCACGGCTGTTCAATGGGAAAACAAGTAGAAAAAAGAAACGGTCAAAATTTTTCGAAGGATTTGGCTTTCGCTACAGAAATAAATGAGTTGTAATTACCCTACGGCCTCTGCTACTGGTCTTGTTGATTCTTGTCCCTTAAAAACATGACACGCAAAACGTTGTATTGTCGGATGCTTTGTGATGAATCCAATATAGCGATGATCTCGTGGATGAAATGCACAGAATGAGACATTTTTGAGCGAATAAAAGTAATCAATGCATGGTCCCTTCTTATCCTTGCTCTACAAAGACAGAAAATACAAACAAAAAACCAATAATTTCCATTCCGGAAAAGAAGTTCATAAAAGCCAAGAAGAGGTGATTAGCTTACAGATGATGATGATGATGCGCGTTCAACCATACGTAATCCCTGGTCTGATATTTCCAAAATGCAAACTTGAATGCTTGGCGATTCGCCACATTCGCCGACAATTTTCCGCACGGCCTGGCAAACAACGCCGGTACCTTTGTGTGCGGTTGTCTCAACTGAACCCATATAACCGAGCAAATACCGCTCTTTTTTCACTTTTTGTGCATTCGGATCGAAATCATTGTATTCCAAATCGACAGCATATGCCGATGGGAATATGCCTTGTCGGCCTGTACGTAAATTGACACCCTCGCACCATAAATCGTCCGCCTCTTTCTGCACATAAATCGGATCGCCGATTTCGATATCGATTTCATCGTGATGACGTGGATTAAATTTGTGTAGGCCACGATGAGTTGCCTCGAGCATTTCCAATTGGCTATAAGGTACGCCACCGAATGGCGGTGGAAATGGTGAATGTGATGTTGGTGACATTGCCAGTTGGGGCGATAAAC